GATAGATAGATAGATAGATAGATAGATAGATAGATAGATAGATAGATAGATAGATAGATAGATAGATAATACCAAATTAAAAACTTAAAGTGACAGCTCTACTAATGAATCATCAACTTCTCAAAGAACAGGATCATTTTCTGGTCTAATTTGTTAAGGACTCGTGCACAGCGGAATTTGACAAAAGAAACCCTCTGTACTGCATTTAAATTTAGCAGCTGCACTTCTGCTGAAGTTCTGGCAAAAGTCTCGACGCACTTCCTGTTCGCTCACAGAGGAGACACAAACAGCTGAAAATCACTTCACACACACACACACACACTAAACCATGTGAACTGAGGAAACTGTTTGAACATAAACAGCTTTGAACATCAACAAATCTGACGATAAAAGAGAACAAGAACCACGAAACTGTAACAGAAAAATGAATCAAAATAACAATAATTGTTACAGAAATAGTTCTCCCAAAAAGGACAATTCTGTCATCACTCACCCTTCATGTTGTTCCAAACCCGTATGTTTGACATAAATGACGTCAAACAACGTTTTCAGCAAGAATTAGACCTTCTTTGCTTTCAAAATATGGAAAAGAACAGCGTGCACTTCTGATAAATATCTCATTTTGTGTTTCACAAGAAAGACATACAAGTTTGGAACAAGGTGAGGGTGGGTGAGTAAATAAATAATGACAGTATTTTCATTTCTGGATTAACTTTTCTTTAAAACTCTTTCATGCACTACATGCCATTCCACATTGAAAAACAGATAAAGATGCTCAAACTGGCCTTAATAGCTGAATCATGGATGTAAAAACAGAATAGTGACTTTAACAGACTGACAACACAGATGCATCCATCTATGCAGCTTCTACTGACTCTAATCACAATTCATTCAAGTCATGCCAATTAGCTGCATGCCAACAAACGCTGTCCTGTAAGCATTTTACTACATACAGTATAGATTGTGACAAGGCAGAATTTTTGGACTAAATCTCAATGTTTGCTCAAGTTACTCTCCACATCGAGTGTGTTTACACGAGTTTCACGTTTCTCCATGAGCCGTCTGCCTGTGGGCACCAACAATATTATGTCTGAAAGCCAGATCTGAATTGCAAAGGGCTGTTATGACTGGAAAGGTTCGTTAAACTCAGTGAAAACTTATCTAACCTTCTGACGGATGTCTAAAAATAATTCAGCCGCTAATCCACCCCCAGATGCTCCGTCCTCATGTATTCTGACACTGTTTGCTGAGCTTTGATATGGGAAGAGATTGCAGCGAAAGGAATAAAGGAAAGTACTGCGTTCCCAAAGATCATATTGCACATTAGAAATCAAAACATGAGGCTTAAACATCCCATTAGTCACAGTAAAAACACTGTGGTGGCAGAGAGATTAAATCAGATGGTAACAGCAAGGTATTTTGATAACATGGTACTTAACCAAACAGCAATAATATGGACAAAATCAAGGTAACATTATCATAGAACATTGATATACACAATGGTGCTTAATGACTACCATATTTACCATGGTATTCACATGCTACTTAATGCTATTGTAAAGAATACCATGGTACAATATAACAGTAACATCATGGTACCTTTAACAGGCCTACTTTTTTGTTTGTGTCTCAATTTATTAGGGTACAAACATGAAATTAGATTACTTTTTAGCATATAGGCCTATACTAAAAAAAGGTTTCAAGCCATTTTCACTCAGAAATTGCTAGTAAATTTCATACATAATTGCAATTATTTTGAGGTAGAAAGACTGAAATAGTATTTTCTTGAAAAACGTACTCCAATAAACTTCGAAAAGTCATTTTCACAGTATACTAATCTAATTGCATGCAATGCCAACCCACAATCAAGGAATACCATGGTATTCACAAGCTAAACAACTTAAAAGAATACCATGGCACAACCGTCAATAAACAGTACTTCCAGCGTATCGATTAAGTCCAATAAAACACAGTAGCACCGTGGTATCTTGATAAATCATTGCTAGTGTTTTAATTTATGGCAGCACTAAAAAGATATCATTAGTCTAACCAAGTGCCAAGCAGTGACGACGTACATCAGGGAACAGTGTTGGGGGTAATATATTACAAGTAACGCGAGTTATGTAATCAGATTACTTTTTTTAAAGTAACTAGTAAAGTAACGCATTACTTTTTAATTTACAAGAGAATATCTGAGTTACTTTTTCAAATAAGTAACGCAAGTTACTTTTTTTTTCAATTTATTGATTAACAGCTCTCCTGTCCCCATGTTGAGAGAAATCAGAAGATGTTACTGTAGTTCTAAAATAAATATGAATATGCATTAATTCATCTCACTCACAAAAAAAAAAACACACAGATTCAGTATTCCTCAAAATGAATAAAAATAATGCAACTCAGAATATGCCGCAAACCTGCAATAATTAAATGTTAAACAACACAAATATGCTTTATGTATTTAATCCCATTCTATTAACCAATGTCTTTGTTTCTGGCCTTCGATGATCCAGTTCAACCGTACTAATAAGCACAAATTTACTCTAGACAAACATTGTGTCTTTTTTTATTGCTGAAGTGTGTTGAAATTTCTTCTTCTGCATTCTACTGTACAGATGTAAATGTACTTTCCCTTCAGCCTGAGGCTTATTCATTTCACTTTAGGTGTGAAAAGGCTTTTATATTTGCCAAAAATAGAACTTTTTTATTTTAAAAACAAACAAGCAAGCCCTGTCCGGATTTTAAAAGTAGCGCAAAAGTAACGTAACGCATTACTTTCCATCAAGTAACTGAGTAACGTAGTTACTTTTTTATGGAGTAACGCAATATTGTAATGCATTACTTTTAAAAGTAACTTTCCCCAACACTGTCAGGGAATGCCGTGGTATTTTCTTACCTGTCCTCACAGCGCACCGGTGACACGTGGAGTCGGTGTCAGTTTTGTGCGTTTTTGAGTTGTTTTCCACCCTGATCATTCCTGCAAACATCATGACTGTTTGAAACCAGTAAATCCACTAAAAATATAGTTAGTTAAACGCCAAACTCAGCGCGTGTCATTCTCCGGTGCGCCGAACGCCGTTCACTTTCCTTCACACATATGAATTTTGTTTAGGCTACACTTTACACTCCGCAGATAGCTGGGTTGTCGGATATGTAATCCTAATCGACGTTTGAATAAAACAGATGCACAAAAAAATCCAACTCTGCGACGTAAAGGGCGAGTTTCCTGTGAGAGTGAAACCCGAAGAATGCTCGCGTGCGTTTGTGCTCCTCTGTTTAATTCAGAGACAATATTTCTAAGTTCTTTGTTTTATTTCCGCTATCCTCTGGACAAATGAAGCCACAGCACAGGGTTGTCAGAAAGCAGACGAGAGCCGGATCACAGCCGCACTTTGTCCCGTTATTTGGCGTGTCCTGAAGGAGTTTCTGTGACGTCTGCTGGAATTTGACTCTGATTCACACCAGAGCAAAACTCCCATCAACCTCATCTACTGGACGGACTTCGCATTTGGACATTTATCTTAAAATGTCTGAAAAAGTCATGACTAAATACCAAAACAAGTGTCATTTATTAAGATGCACGATCAAAACAAAACAAAACATTTCACAAAACAGAAGTTGGTTAGGTTTGAAATGATTAAGCTCAAATGTTGTGTTGAAAATGAAATCTGAAATGCACCATGTGGTTGCTTTTCTAGGACACCCATGTGTGAACTTGAGGAGAACTGACTTCATTTATCCACCAAAACGCCAGCTGATCAAAGACATCGAGCTAAAATAATTAAGAAAAGTAAAAAGACACATCCTGCAGAAAATACCAATTTCAGAAAAACCTGCTAGTTGGTTAACTGTAACCGTACAACACACTGGAAAATTATTTTAGATTTGACAAGACAATAAATGTAAAATCTATATATTCAACAATACAATAAAGTAATACAACTTTTTTTTCAGCGACAATAGTAAAAATATATATCAAAAGACATTCCACTAAAATCCCTGCATCTATTCCCAGCTAACAAAATATATTCTAAGAACGTTCTGTATACGTTCCCTTTAAGTTGTTATTAAAACATTATTCCAGAATGTTCAAAACATCCCGTTTAACAAAACGTATAAACTTCTATAACTTTTTGATACTTTAATTTTTTGAAAAAAAAATCCACTTTTGCAATAATCTGCTGATTTTCTTCTCTACAAAGAGACCAACCTTAGGTCTGTATTCCAAAGTGTTCATAAATTACAACAATTTAAGTTTGGATAGTGCACTTTCATGCCTATTTTAAAAGATGGGGGGGTGACAGTTAAGGGGTTAAACAAATATTCTATTAATGTTACTGGAAGAATGTTGCCAGAACGCTTGCCAAATTTCTGAAAACTTTTTTTTTTTAGCTGGGTTATTATTTTGGTTATCAGTATATTTGAAGTTTCAAAGCAGATTTGAGCAGTTCTGGTTGTGTTCAACAGATGTCTGGGTTGAAGCTGTTCTGTAACTGGTTGGTTTTGCCTATGCTTTTAATAAATGTGTAGTGTATCGTATCATTTACATAAACGTTAAACTGAGAGATTTTCATTCTGTTATCGTGAAGTATAAACTGGAATAATAAACTGTCTTCAATAATCAGACATCTGATCCATTTGCCAAATGCAATCACTGCTTGAATGTGTTCCTGTTGTGTGTCTTTCTGTCTCGTTCAGGCCCAGGAAGCAGCAGTGAGCGGACGAACAGAGCCGCTCTTTGTGTTGTGCTCTATAGCCAGTGGAAAGTCTCATTCGAGGCCTGTGTGTGTCTCATAATGGTTTAATCGAGCTAAACCGCACAGAGCGTCAGAATCAAAGTCTCTTACTGAAGCAGCTAAATCAAATTAACATCTGATCTGGTGACTTTAGGACCCAGTGAGAACAACTGAACCAGCAAATGACAGTTCTTTTGTTGTCAATGTATGTGAATATTTGACATGTTCCAGGTTACACAGTTATGAGGTATTTGATACTTTAACCTTTGACTTTTGCTGACACATGAAAGTCAAAGAACACTACCAGTCAAAAGTCTGTTTTTCTTTATTATGACTTTTTCACATTTTATAGTAATACTAAAGTCATCAAAACTATGAAATAACACAAACGACATGGTTCATGACAACGGTTTTATATTTATATTGTCTACATTCCAGCTCAAGAGTTTATTTACTTCCAAACATCATCCTGGCTTGAGACCTGAACACATTTGTTATATTTACCTATAATATCTGAACACCTGCATGATCGCTCTTTAAAGGAATAGTTCACCATCATTTACTCACCCTCCTGACGTTCCAAACCTGTATGAGTTTCTTTCTTATGTTGAACACAGAAGAAGATATTTTGAAAATACTGGTAATCAAAAAGTTGATGGTCGCATAGTATTTCTTTCCCTACTATGGAAGTAAATGGGGGCCGTCAGCTGTTTGATTACCAGCATTCTTTAAAATATCTTCTTCTGTGTTCAGCATAAGAAAGAAACTCATACAGGTTTGGAACGACATGAGGGTGAGTAAACGATGACAACATTTTCATTTTGGGGTGAACTGTTCCTTTAAGCATGAATGCTTGTAGTCGTGCCCTGCAATGACTTGAATTAGTCACTATTTGTCAGTATTGTACAACTTCAGGCAAAATCTCGAGCTCTCAAAGGGGAGTTGTGTTGAAAGGTGTTTAGAGAGAATACAGTAAAGACTGGAGAATATTACAGTGATCAACTATGTAAACAACTGTATGATTTTTTTTAAACAAATTTTCTTTTACATTCATTTATGCCCACTCATTGCAGGGGTATATACACTACCGGTCAAAAGTTTGGGATCAGAACAATTTTTAATGTTTTTACAGGGGTTCTTATGCTCATCAAGGCTGCATTTATTTGATCAAAAATACAGGAAAAAATTTAATATTGTGAAATATTATTATCATGTAAAATAACGTTTTTCTATTTTAATATATATTAAAATATAATTTATTCCTGTGATGCGCAGCTGAATTTTCAGCATCATTACTCCAGTCTTCAGTGTCACATGATCTTCAGAAATCATTCTAATATGCTGATTTATTATCAGTGCTGGAAACTGTTGTGCTGCTTAATATTTTTTTGGAACCTGTGATACTTTTTTCAGGATTCTTTGATGAATAAAAAGTTCAAAAGAAGAGCATTTATTTAAAATACAAATATTTTCTAACAATATACACAAAGTTTGGTGTCGGTCAATTTTTATTCTTTCTTCTTTTTTAATAAATTAAAACTTTTATTCAGCAAGGATGTGTTAAATAGTTAAGAAGTGATAGCAAAGATTTATATGGTTAGAAAAGATTTATATTTTGAATAAATGCTGTTCTTTTTAACTTTTTATTCATCAAAGAATCCTGAAAGAAGTATCACAGTTTCCAAAAAAATATTTGGCAGCACAACTGTTTCTTAATTAAAAATCAATTAATACATAAAACTGAGTGCAGATGGGTAAAACAATTGGGGTATTTAAGAAATAAATAACTAATCTCTTATAATATGGTCACCCTAATGTGATCTGTTGAGATGTAGCCGGGGGCCAAGTTTGTACCAAAAACAAGTTTTATTGACAGTTCTGAGTTCAAAATAATGGTAAACATGTTTATAACTTTCCGGAAGATTAGAAGGAACAAGATCAGTTAAACATTTAGCAATTTATATGAAATACAACAGCTCAAAACTGAAGAACTAGACATGTTTACAACATGCAACCATTTAAACAACGAGTCCTTAAACTAAAAATATTCTAACAATAATATGCCCAGTTTGCAAAGTCCGACATGCACAGGAAAGGACACGCGACGCATCTCGGTATCTCACACCATTGGCTCATCCGGGTCCACATGCGTCGCCGCCCTGCTGGAGAACACGTCGGCCAGCATGTGTTTGGGAATCTCGGATCCGCGCACGCGCAGGGTGTAGCACGCGTCCTCCACCTTCCCCAGGCTCTGCCGCAGAGTGTGCAGTTTCTTAGACACCTCGTAGGGTCCCGTGTTGCCGATGTAGGAGAAGCCGTCGTGGATTTGCCGCAAGAAGCCGCTGAGCTGGAAGGGCGTGTCTATGTCGCCGTTGCCCACGCTGCTTATGCACATGCGCATCAGCTCGCCCGTCAGGTCCGCGACACCCAGCAGGTAGTCGATCGGCGTTATCTGGAAGGTCAATACGCTCGGGCCTGTCCATGCGACCTCACCTTCACCCTTCAGAAAAGAGACAAGCAAACAATGAGTTTATACTGCCAAATATGAAATGCCAAATATTTAACATACAAAACTACCAAATAATTATAACTATTAACTAACTGCTTGATTTTTACCGTGCATTTATGCCATATGGACATCAACTTGAGATAGTTATCACCACTGATAAGCTATTGCTAAATATAATGTAGAAACTTTAATTTTCTGTAAAGCTGCTTTGCAATGATTTGCATCGTGAAAAGCGCTATACAAATAAACTTGAATTGAACTGAATTGAAATATGGCTTCTAGATCATTAGTATTCTAACTAATAAATGAATGGTTGATCAATCTGGTAGTGACTAGGGTGGCACGATTAATTGAAATTAAATCACAATCGCGATTTGGCGTATCTTTCAGTGAAGCGAGGTTCTGTGATCAGTAGTAAATCTCTATCCGAAGGCGGAGGGCGCTCTCACGCTGAAACTCCAAATATGCTTCAAATATGATCACAAAAAATACGCATAACAATCGCATTCGATTAATCGTGCAGCCTTAGTAGTGACCCTAATCTTCAGTATGACCAATAGAGAGCTGCAGCGATTATACATTTACGAGTTCAACACACACGAACAGAAAGGTGTAATTATGAGTGGGAAATTTTTCTTTAGGCCCAGAGTTTCCGAGTTGAGGGCATCAATAACAGGGTTTCTGCAGGTTTTATGAAGGTAATTTAAGACTTTTATGACCTTTTTAAGACCAAGTAAGGAATAAATTGAATGGAACACAATATGTTTTATTACTTCAAAGTTTGAAGATACAACTTTCAACAGATCTCCATTGCTTTTTAATTCATTTTACATGAAAAAAACATGCTAAAACAACTGCAAAAAAGTGGTGCACTTCCTTTGTATTTTTGTCTTGTTTTCCAGTGCAAATATCCAAAGATTTTTAAATCAAGATGTATTTACTTGAAAAGAAAATGACATTATGTGAAACTGATCCAAATGGAGTGTGTTTATGGTTAAAACATGAACAAATATCTGCCAGTAGCCTCAGAAAAATCAACTTAATTCGAAGGGAAAACAAGTTAATAATACCCCACTAACAGACATTTGTTCTTGTTTTAAGCATAAACTCATTTAATTTTTTCCCATTTCTCAGAAAACAGGACTTCATGTGTTCAATTTGACAAAAATAAGACAAAAATACTGAGGAATGTTCTTTTTTTTGTAGTGCAAGCAACATTTAAT